CTTCCATGCTGCTGAAGAGTACAATACTCAGAATTGTAACGCCATGGTTTATCACAGTGAAAGCCTGATTTAACAATTTCTCTTGAGTAATAAAGTTGCAACTAATTTATTTTTACTTGGTGCACAGACTACGAGTACACTTGTAACATTTTGTTCACACTGCTTTAATGACTGTCCGTGTACGCTATCTATTTAAGCCTATGCAGCAAAATTGCAGTGCGCGATCCACGTTGATACGACACTACTGTGCCGGCACCATTTTCTGCAACAGGTGCACCTTTGTGGGTAGCGCCACGCTTTTGGGATGATTCTCACCTTGCACAGCTGCTACCTCTCGATCTCTTCTTGGTTGTCGTTGCGGCCACCTTCTGCTCCTCGTTGTCGAACGTGTATGTATTTGGGAAGTTAGGGAGTGACTACAGCGGCCTCCGTAGTCTAGGGGTAACGTTCCCACCTCATGACTCAAGGTACGCGGGTTCAAACCCGGCGGAGGTCGTGGAATTTTTAAGGGCGGAAAAATTCAGGCAACAAGTCCTCCGGGAGGGACTTTAAGCCGTGTATCCCGTGTTGTAGATTTACGGCACGTAAAAGAACCTCATGTCTTTAGGAGACCTCTGAGCTAAATTAGAGGCCCTTTCCCGCCCAAGTAGTCTCCAATGCCTCTGATGGATGGGGGAAGCATCAAGGTACCGGGGGGCCGACCTCGTTGGCTCTACGGGGGCTGATGGCACGCACCGTTACCGGTAAGGTATGGCGACAGTAGAAATTAAAGGGGAACGCACAATGGACCAATAACTGGTCTAAGTACATGGGGAAACCCACCCCCTCTCATAATACATACATACATAGGGAGTGACTATTGAACGCCAGTAAGCGTATGTGAGTAGCTTACAATCAAGGTAGTGTCTGCTCGGGTGACATATCTGGGTCTTCCGGTCTACTCAGGGACTGGTAGAGCTGATCTCTAGTCTCAGGGCGTATCTAGCCTCGCTCCGGCAGGACAGGAAGGAACTTACGCTAACAACCTTGCACGAACACCATTTCAGTTTCACAGATGATATTATTTATTATTTACTCTGCGTTTAATGCCAAATTAGTTACTTCACTGGCTTAACTGACCACTTCTTATACTATGTTTATTCTTGTATCACTCGAGTTTCCGGTATCTTACTTTTACTAAGAGAACTTGTGTAAACTCTGACAATGTACAAGTTGTGAATGGCGACGTGATGCATTGCGTCCCCACCCTCATTTGCTGAATGACCTCTCCGAAGTAGTAACTTCTTCGAGCCCTAAGTTCCAACAGGAAGCTTCTCCCTGAAATAGGTCGTAGTGATCCAGCTTAAAATTTGGGAGTTCACCAGAAATTTACAAATCCGAATGATACAGACATGCTGCACGATTTTTGCCTTTGAAGCCTTAACGGTATTTGTGACAGCATCCTGACGGATCATCATCTTGGCCTGGGTCTGAATGTAAAAACGTGATCATCTGCTTACTCCTTACTTATAACCTACAGCTTGTGTCTTAATTGTTCTTAATTAACATAATTTATATTGACTAATTCTACTGAACGGCTAGAGCTGATTATTTTTAACTTTCTTAAAATATAAGTCCAAAAGATATCCAAGTTCTCGTAACAAATACCTAGTATAAATATCACATGGTTACCACAGTAAACCCTCGCTAATCGGGATCGAAATATGGAAAATGCTGTTCACAGCTGAGTACGTACTTTAAAAGACACGTGGAATTTAGGTAGGCACATGATGAGTCATTTGTCTGTTCAGAAAAAACTTAAGTTTCTTCAAACTTACTACGTTAAAAAAGGCACAACTTCTGCGTCTTCCATCAATGAATACAGGTATTGTTTTCTACAGTTTTTAAATAAAGGCTCTACAGTGATTTTTATTTATTTTCAACGGCATTACTTATTATATTTTCAATTTATTTGTTCTAAGTTTTTTTTCTTGTAGGGCTGTCTTTTGCTTCACTAATCCGGATTATCGCTTATAGGAATGACCTCCCCTCAAACACCTAATTTTCATTATTTGAACCAAAAAAATGGCACAGGTTGTGTAGGCATAAACATGACCTAATCAGCTTATGAGAGAAGTTGAAGATATTTTCCAGAAGAAAGAATTAGAAGACGAAATTAGAATAGGCTTCCGAAGAGAGTAGCAGCCTAAAAACGAAAAATGTCTACTTTCAAAGTATGACCTACCCTGCAGTCCATTTTGCTGTGAAAAAAGTTCATAAACGTCATAGACTACCGCAGTTTTAATAACTCATTAAATTGATATCTCTACCATACTTGTGGGGTAGGCGGTAACGTAGTTGGTTGAGGCACAATGAATGAATGAATGTATAAGGGGTGGGCCTTCTCGGCCCTTGCACGGCGACGTACAGTGGTCTATTGTGCTTCACATTTTGATTATCCCCTCAGCAATCCTGCACTTCGAATGAAGCGTAGGATTTCGTACGTGGGGGCGTCGAAATGGTCACTTGGTTCCATAAAGTATTGACAAAAGTGACGTAATCTTAAATAAGCCAAGGCCTCACATTCGCACAGGATGTGTGTGGCTGTTTCATTTTCTTCTTGACACTTCTCACAAGTGGGACTATCACTTAGTCCCAGTTTGAAGAGGTGTCCTTTAAGGTGACAGTGTCCTGTAAGTAGTCCTACCACCCATCATAGCTGGTTCCTGTTTAACTTCAACAGATTCTTCGCACTTTTAACTGAGGGTCCTCGTATGAGTCCCTTTGCTTGCCCGAGTCCAGTCAAGGATCCACAGTATTTCTTGTTTGAGGCACTATACTACAAGCCGAAAGCTCGCGGGATCGAATCCCGATGAGGTTATTGGATTTTTTCAATTTATCTAATCCTTCCAGCTGCACTAAGGCCCTGGGATCGACTCAGCCTCTAACAGAAATGAGTACCAGGAATATTCATGGGGGTAAAGGGCGGCCGGCGCGTAAGGCTAACAACCTTACCGCCATCTATGAGCCGATTGTCTAGAAAATGTGGGAGCCTCAACATCTCACAACCCTATTGGGCCTCCATGGTCTGTTACAGGGATAGCTTTACTTTACTTTACTTACTATACACATCAAAAAGAATTTGTACGTCTTCATGACGAAGGGCTTAATTAAGTACAGGGACAAATTTACCGTTTCATTTTAGGTTACCTTTATGTTAATATAAGTCAGCACTGAGTAATTATATTCCGTCTATATAAATGTTTGAGTACAAATTTAAAGCTAATTTCTCTAGAACGTCTGAAATTTGTCAGAACTTAGAAGGCCTGTTTAACCCCTTTCAAGTCTGCGAGTGAGGTATCTGCCCTGTCACTGACGCTTTCTCGTCACATTCCATCACGTATCATTCTTACCTTTTGAACAATAAAAATTAAACGCTGCCATGAAAATATGAGTCCTACGAACAGAAGAATGTTTCATTAAATAAGATATACTGGTATGGAAAGGGTTAAAAAGCAAAGTTCTTATTTCTTATAACGAAGAATCCATTTTACATGAAAGAAAGTTGTATCACAGATGTGATACATGTAGAGTAGTCACGGAAAGGGGACAGCGTAATGTGAAGTGTGCAATATTCATGTGTGTTCAATGGCGTGTATCAGAAAATAATTTGTGCTTTAAGCTTACGTATCTTCAGCAAACTGAAATTAAAGGAACCTTTTGCGATGTAGTGCACCGGGAAGGTGAGATTCATGGAGTCCATATGTTCTCGTACGTACGTTTTTTATTTATTTCATTTCATGCATCCTGTTGTGTTATAATATACAATTTTCTTATTAAAACCTTCACAACACAACTATATTACGGTCAGTGCCAAGTTTGGCTCTGCTACATGTTTCGGCTACCAAGAGCCATCATCAGGCAAATACATGGCCAACATATATATACCACTGAACTACAGTACTAGTAAAATTGGATACAACAATATTAATTACATTCAAAATACTTCGCGTAAAAGTACAATAAATTAGACTATATAAAACGAAAGTTATTGTATAAAACAAGAACAAAATTCTTCGAGTGATGCTTTACATCATCAAATCAGTCGTTGGTTTTTACGATTTTGGTGTATTCTCACGCACAAATTGGAGTATTCTATATTTTGTGTATATATAATAAACTATTTTGGAGGCTCGTACTTTTATGCCAAGTATTTTTATAATATTATTGTATCCAATTTTACTGGTACTGCAGTTCAGTTCATCAAGCCTGATGATGGCTTTTAGTAGCCGAAACATGTAGCAGAGCCAAACTTGGCACTGACCTTAATGTAGTTGTGTTGTGACGGTTTTAATAAAGAAACTGTACAACGTTCTTAATTCTATGAAGCATGAGTCCCTCTTGAGAAGAAGATGGCTGCTTAGATATTCAATAAATTTGCGGCCTTTCCTGGTTCATTAATGTGTCCACAAGAGCCCGCCACTGAACCCTATTCTGCGCCAGATGAATCCAGCCTACACATTTTTTTTTTTTAATTTCAAATAATCCGTCGAAGACTTATAGAACATTTCGTAACGTGCTAGTCTTCTTACGGAGAAGATTGTAAACCCCCTTCCTCAAACCCAAGCTGAAAGACCACTCCTTTTCGGCTGTCCGGAACTGATTTTCTTTTCAATATATTAATCCGTAGCTACCCTCCATATCCGGAGGGCGTCTCCTCCATCTGCAACCCGAGGACGCGCCATTTCATGTTGAAAGAACTCCACTTAAAGTGATTTAGATCACAACCACCCCTAAATATTCTGGTGTGCCAGGCAACCTGCTGAAATTATCTTTCACGATTCCACTTGTTTGCTTTACTCACAATTATTAGTGTAAGCCCGTTTAAGGGAAAACGGAAACTTGATAGAAAGCTGACTTATTACTCTCCTTTCCGCGACCACCCCTCACCCCTTCCCCCTCGAGATCTTGCCCTCCCCTCCTTCCCCTGACCAAACTTCCATACCGAACATAAGTGGTCGGCGTAGGCATTACTATGCCAACTGGTGAACAATATAGTTCTTAGCGCTGTTTAGAAGCAGTCATTAATTATACAAGCCATTCGCGAGTTTCACAACAAAAAATTGATCCAGCATAACTTGAGAAATAAGAAGCTGGTGATAAGAAAAATTTAATCTCAGTGCGGCGCTGGCAGCCTCCATAATAATAACAATCATAATCACAATCATTAGCAGCAGTATCAGAGCGCGCTGCTGCGTGCCACAAAGACAGCAGCCAGCTTGAATGGCTTCACGACAAGATTATCTGCGAGCATTCGGTAAGTATGATCCTACATTCACTTGTTATCAGTAACTGATAAAGACGAGCTGGATTAAACATGTCTGCAGTTCTTTCTACATATGACATTCAATTAATGAAAATATCTGGCCCTTTATCTTACTTACAGGATGAATAATATTTGTGTTCGTATGTGACGCTATGGAATATTTGTGTACTGGAAAACGTTGATAAGTAATCGTAAACTTCTGTTGCTGATTCGCGATAACAAGATTCAGTGCCTACCACGTGGACTTTCATGTTTAGGCCTGTTCTGTTTTCGGATCTTCATGCAAAATTCGATTTGCTATAAAATGTACACAGCCACACCTGTTGAATTCAACACTGTCCGAGATGCTGAAACCTCACATACGGGCGCAGTAGAACATGAACATGAAAGGAATTGTTGTTACATTGTTTATGTTATTTAATTTAAAGTTAACAACAGATAGCCCAACATTTTCATCGTATCTTTTCTGATATCCCGAATAAAAGAACACAATCAGTCGTAAACACATTAACATAAATTATATACAGGCCTGCTAATTATATATTTTCGGTAAAAATAATAAGCAATGGAAATTGCACAAAATTGATGATTATCACTTTATTATGGTAAAAAAAAGTAACGCCATCCCTGTAACAGGCCGTGGCCCATAGGGCCTTTACAGTTAAATAAGTATATATCATTTGTATAAATATACATCGTTGCAACCAGAGCAGTGAAATATATTTTAAGTTTTAATGCATTTAATAGGATATTAACGACTATTTAAACAAATATCGTCCATTAAGCCATTTCAGTGCATTAATTTGCGTTTATGTATTTTAACTTGTGACGTTTATGACGTTGCATTGTCCTGGAATATTAATGGGAGATCCATTTTATAGCGTTTTAGAAATTCAACAGTTTAACGATTGTAATAATTTAGATGTTTACTATATTAACCTTTTAAAGCATGAATTTTATTACAACAATTAACAATTTCAGCTTCTATCTCACAGAAAACACACTGAGTTACCATTATAAATATCTTTCGGTTAAGTACGTTAGGAAGATAATCGCATTTTCGGAGAATCGTGCGAAATCCTACGCGGATAAAATGTTTAACGTAAAAACAGATGGTGCACTCGCATACACTAATTGCTGCACTTGAAAAGAGTTGGGATGAATAGTGTATATTCCAGTCTTGAAACATCTTACTTGAAATAAAACTGTGTAAAATTCGTTCGCCCACTTTCGCAGTTTGTTTCGATATATGTGTGTCGACAATATTAATTCGTACATTTAGCACCATGTTGTTCGTTTTTCGTAATTACAGACTTTGTAAATTTTCTTTGTTCCCGGATTATTGTTGAGCATGACCATGTTGTTCTTGAATACCCACTTCGTTGGTTCTGCCTAACACATGACACGTTGTAGACCTCCAAGAACTTTGTTACAATATAGACACGGAACGTTATGTTAACGACGTGGCGATGGTACTGCTTGGATATTCACAAGTCCCTTGCCAGAACTACTATCGCATACAACTAAATCTTGCCTGCTGCAATTACACCGGCCAGAAGCGGAGAAAAGACCACGCGAATATCGTCCTTCCAGCAACAAGCACAACTTCCAACTCTTGAATACCAACCGAGCACTAACAATTATTATCAAGCACACCTCCTTTTTCCCTCATCCCCTGTACCCCCTCTTCTTTGTCCAATTATCACAGCAGCCTACTTAAGATATGAACCTATGCAGATATAACCCATATGTGTTGGGGCGGGGAAAATTATCTGAGCACAGTGCGATAAGATTTGATATAGGCTTACCCGCGGATTAGCGAGCTACAGCTAGGGGAAAGATGATAAGGCGAAGCCCCACTCAGTTCTGCTGCTGCTAAGATTAGTTTGTGTTCCAAAGCGTTGTACATTGCTTTGCTGCGAATCATGGCATAGCTTCTGGTTCATACACATTGATGACTTCTTCTAATGTGACAGGTTATTCGACTAGTTCATTTTCTGTACATATCAGGAATACCAGGAATATGAAGGGAGGGTATGGAGTGGATTCTTCTGACTCAGGATCGGGTCAGGTGGCAGGCTCTTGTGAACATGGTAATGAAATTTCGGGTGACTAGGAGAGAGACTCTCAGCCCCTCTGTAACGAGTTAGCAAGAGGAAATGTGATTGTTTCATTGTGATAAATTAGTTACACTTGTGTTTTATGCACCCTAATGCTAATGTTGCATACTTAATGATCTTCTTGTTTTCTTTCTTAGAGATGCTGATGGTCTTTTGCTTCTTTCTGTATTTAGACCTAGGAGACGTTTCTTAGGCTTGTAGGACCACTTTACCCTCCATGCGGGAGCTGTATGGTGGATTTGAACCAGGGTCCTGAAGTCTGTCTCGTGATCCGTCGTCGGAAAATAGTGTACCTTACCATTAACGCCAAACTTCGCTAGACGGCGCAACGCATCGGCCTCTATATCCTTCTGTTTCCTTGCGACTGCTGACGGTAGGCATGCGACTTAGTAGTATGATGGTCTGTAAATATGCCCTTTCTTTTGTATGGGTGTGAACTTTTGTTAAGTTGCCACCCTGCTTGTGAGTCGGTGTAGCGACTGGTTACGGCGCTGGACGACCGAGAGGTCGGAGTTCGAGTCCCGGTAGGGTGAAGAATTGTCTTTTCTCCACACCGGCTCTGGGGTCCACCCAACCTCCTATCCAATAGGTACTGGGGCTCTTTCTCAGGGGGTAAAGCGGCAGGGGCTTGAAGCTGACCACTCCCATGTAGTGCCGAGGTCAAGAAAATGTGGATCTATACATCCACTCCCCCATACGCCTTCATGGCGTAGTGCTTAATTAGCTAAGCACAGGGGCAACTTTTCTTTTACCCCCTTGCTTAATTAAGCGTCACGCTGTGAAGGCATGCATTTAACCTCGGCACTGTATGGAAATAAGCTGTGAGCTTTACGGCCCGGTAACTTGACCCCCGGGGAAGATCCCTCAATACCCATTGAACAGTAGGCTACGTGGGTTCCAGAGCTGGTCTGAACATTGTAAAGAACAGAAACATCTTTGTCCTCCACCGGGAATCAAACTCCAATTCCTCGGTCATTTAACCCCAGGTCTCTCACAGTAATGTACGGACATAAGCTGAGGGTGTCTGAAAATGTGTGTTGAAGAGAATATTTGGAACAAAGAGAGGAAACAACAGTAGAGTGGAGAAAATTGTAATTATGAACATCATAATTTGTACTCCTCGCCAAATATTATTAGGATGACGAAATAAAAAAGGATGTGATGGACCGGGCATATAGAACGCGTGGCAATAGGGAGAAATTTATAGAATTCCTTTGTCGAAAACCTAAAGGAAAGCGTCATTTAGAAAATCTAGGCGTAGATGGATACTATTGGAATGATTTTAAGGGAATGGGATGGGAGGGTGTGAGCTGGATTAATCTGACTCAGAACAGGGAACAGGGCAGACTCTTGTGAACACGGTAATGCACCTGCTTATTTGATAAAATGAGGCAATATTTCTTGACTAGTTTAGCAACTATTAGCTTCGTAAGAAGACTGCGCTCTATGGAGTTACGAGCGTAGGCCTACTAAATATTTGCATATATGTAGCTACAGAGATGGCAGTGGCGCCAAGGTTTGTGGTTATCTGTAACAACTTTTTGAGTACAGGGCGTACAATTGAAACGGAAAACACTGGGGCGATACTTTACTGCGTGATCATGCGCAGAATGGCGAAGGGGTCCTCCCTGCCTCCATCGCTGACTCCTGTCTTCTTAAAACAGAATTTCATTATTGATTGCTGTAAAAACTCGGCAAAAACTTAACATATTTTATAATTGCTGGAAGCGACGCCCTTGTGCCTTCAAGCATACCTAGCTAGTAGAACGTAAACAAGTTTTGAGAGTTTCTGGAGTTCTTCCTCGGAAAATAAAGGAATAACGCGCGTTATGGCATGAAGATTTTTCGCCACTCAATTTCTTTCCTCTTTGCATATTTACATGACCAATAAGGTAACACCGACCGGTCACCATAGCCGAGCGGTCTAAGGCATGCACTATCTTCGCTCGCTCGGAAGCCGGGATCGTGGGTTCGAATCCCACCCAGGACATAGATGTTTGGTGTTTTTTTATTGCTAGTGTGGTGGGACTAAGTCCCTTGTACTGCGGCTATTTCTGGCCTATTGTACCAGCCCCAGATAATGGGTGAGGGTGATTGTGGAGCAGTTGGTGGAATGAAGATTGGCAGGGGAAACCGAAGTACTCGGAGAAAACCTGCCACAGCGCAACTTTGTCGACCACAAATCCCACTTGACCAGACCCGGGATCGAACCAGGGCCGCCGTGGTGGGAAGCCAGCGACTAATCGCTTGAGCTCTGGCGCAGCCCATGTGTGTGTGTGTGCGTGCGCGCGCGCGCGTGCTCGTTTCGCTCTGTGTTTGTGTACAGGTAGAGGCCTTGCGACGAGCTGATCACCCGCCCAAGGAGTCCTACCGAAGTGAAACGGAGAGTTTCATGGTGGCAGGGTAAGGTCCAAATTGGGGCTGTAGCGCCAAAGGAAAAAAAGGTAACACCGAGCAGGTTGTTGTATCGGTACTACTTCAGACTTGTATTTGGGAAGTGCTTGATTTTAATACAGACCGAATCACTGGCTATTCACGCTAAATTCTTCTCGTTATTCTCCTCAGTCCCTTCAGGCTGTTGCCCCGAATGGGACATGAACGCTTCATTCCAAATTATTTCCAATTCCTCAGTTTTCGTATTATTGACGCTATGTACCTGTGATCCAGACACTGACAAAGTCGTAAACCATAAAGTATACTGTAATGAAGTTGAAGAAGGAAACGTTGCAATGTTCTTCCTGCAATGGATATGTGGACGGTCACCCAACTCAGGACGGTGTGGTGTGAATGTTCTTCTTGCTTAGATCTTTTTAATATGAGTACATAATTCGTTGGACGATAACAAATCAAAACCTGACTGAGGAGGGAATT